ACTGCTAGCCAGCCAGAGTAATTTTTCACAGCAGGACGCAAATTTTTGGAAGCGAAATAGTTTGTGCTTTCAGTGACCACATTGAAATATGATTGTTATAAATTCATATTTGCCCAGTTCTTAGAAATTTTTTGATTGCAGCACGTTGAGTCTTCACTTTTTTTTAAATTTCAGTTTTTGTGGCTTCTAGGAGAGGTTGCTATCGGATTTAACTATCACTGAGTGTTCAGGAAGAAAGTAAGAAATACTAAAGTATGAAAAAATTAAAAATTTTAGAACAGCCCGAATTCGGCCAAGGATAACCCAGTCAGTGGAAGCGTAAAGAATAGAGCCGTTTCAACAAGTTCGCCATCTGTATGCCGGAAATGTTCGCAGGAAGTTTACGAAGCAGAAAAAGTTTTGGCCGGAGGAATGGTCAGTATGTGACAATTGACCGTCGCACTGGTCAACTAAATTTTTCATAAAACTACAAGGACTTCAGATTTTTTCATAATAGTGGCTTATCTCCAAACCATGTAAGAAAAACCCAACAATAACATTTTTAGCAAAAGTACACATATCAAACTGTGAAAGAGTGGATAATGATCGCGTCTTCAGCCTTGGTTTGAGTAGCTTATTTATTTGCACGAAATTATCAGTTAGGCACTGTACCCCTTCGGACACATCAGCAGCCCAGTTGGGCGTAAGTAGAAAAGGCATGAGCAAGAATTAATATCTCCTTTGGCAAAAACTATTGGTAAATTTTCGTTATTAAAAAAGCAGGTATTTGTGCACATTTATCAATTTAACTTCATTCCCGCTGGACCAACAGTGTCTGTTTGTTTTGAAAGATACTGAAAATATATTTGCCAATGTGCCCACTGATAAAATGCTGCGAATTCCCTAGACTACAGATTTTTTCAAAAAATCCCTCACTCTTAAAGAAAATATGCCACAGAAAATAAGCTCCTGTTTTTCAGCGTAAACTATTCTCAAGACTTATTTACTGATTCTTTATGTTTATCAAAGTTAGCGAGCTGAAATACATGCTCAGGACAAGCGCAGACAGCAGCCGAAGATCAAAATTTGAGTGATTTTATGATGTCTTGCTCATCAGCCTATCAGCTGTAATACGAGTAGCATGCAGACTATGCCTCGAAGGTATCAGCTAACTGAAATGTTTTTAGGCTTGGCATCGACACAAGTGTTTCGTGTGCAGCGCTTGCAACAGATTGCTGGAATCCCGAACCGTTTGTGTCCGCAGTGGCTTTTTGTACTGTAACTGTAAGTTCTGTTACATTAAAAAAGGGTTTTTGGAATACACTTTTTTGCCTGGAGCTTCTCGAGTATTGGAGTAATAATTAATTTGGAATATAAGCGAACGAAAGAGTATGAGATTCACTGTTTGATATTTTACTTGCAGCATGTTATGCCAAGGAGTTCGGCCCACGTGGATATGGGCATGGTGTTGGTTCCGAGAATTTACGAGCATACGAATAACTGAAGAAGTTGTGACCATCGGCCATCTTCATCAAATTGTCTTTTCATTTTGGCGGAAAATAGAAAATCAGCTGGACTGAAATTCGAATTTTTTTTCTACAGTTCGATTAAGGCGAACAGCATGAACCGAACAATGTTTACAAAGATATTAGACAGCCACATTCCTGCTTGAGACAAAACAAATTTAGGCTGCACTAAAATATGTCATTTTGTAGGGAAAAAATCAAATCCTTTCTATAACTTAGAGTCTGTGAGAGGCAAAGGTACTCCGAATTAGTTCGAGTGACAGCTACTCATCATGACAAGTCTGCCGACAGCTTCCTCCGCCAGGGGACTGTTTATAAACAGGCTGATGACGATTTTTATCCCTTGGCATTCGTCATACCAATTTATCATCGAACGAATGAACAAAACGTAAAGGGGCTAGTTTATCAAGTGATTGCATCAAATTGTGAACCTCTGGAATGCAACTAGTGCTGCTTTCCACTGCACCACATCTGCCGAGTTAAAAAACAGTGATAGCTAAAAGTTTCACCTATTGAAAAATGATATAATGCTTTTATATCTCAACCAGCAGAGTTTCGACATAATTTCAATGCAGTTCATTTCATGGCTGCAAACTTCTCGCTGTTAAAACACGAGTCGCTGCACGTTCACTTTTGTAAGTTTTATTTGAATGGATGACCACCAGTTGAGAAGGATGACCGGAGGATGTATGCCGGAGGAATCGCATTGTGGGACACATAGAATCACGCTATGCCGTTCGTTCTTGAGAAGTGAGATTAATCATGTATCACTAAACAGCTCTGCTCTTTTAAACACTGATGTTTAATTAATGATAATTTCAAAATGAAAATGTTTGTTTTTTTCCAGTTTATTTGACCAAAGGAAGAAATAAATAAACTGGAAAAAATGAACATCTTCATTCTCAGTTGTAGCGTCCCAAAAATGTCCGCCGATAGTTTTTGAATTTTTGGGTTCAGAATCACTCAGTGGTTTTTAGTTTGGCTGATCCTGCAACGCCTTGTCGAGAAATGGAACAGATGACGCTTTCGATGCTCAACCTCCACGAATTTGTCATTTATTTTAGCTAGAAGAACGCTGTTTACGAATTGCAGTTCCCAGAATGTGAAATAATTGTAAAATGCAAATCCATGCAAAATTCCTCTTGTCAGTGTGTAACAAAGAAACAATCATCACTCTCTCATCAAATACATCTTCTATCCTTTAGTCGCCGTTGCTTTGCAAATCCTCTGCTGACTGATGTGACCAAAAATCTTCCAATTTCTCGTAATGCTCACAAATGACTCAGTTGTACTT